GTGCCTAGTGAACTCCTACTCATCCTTGAAGACTTCCCTAACTTACCCAAATACAGTTAGATATTTATTTCTTTAGATTCCTAAAGAGAGGCCAGGTCGGTGGCTCACACCTGTAATCCCAACACTTTGGGAGGCCAAGGCAGGCAAATCACCTGGGTTCAGGAATTCAAGACCACTCTGACCAACATGAAGAAACCCTGTCTCTACCAAAAAATACAAAAATTAGCTGGCTGTGATGGTGGTGCCTGTAATCCCAGCTACTTGGGAGGCTGAAGCGTGAGAATCACTTGGACCTGGGAGGTAGAGGCTGCAGTGGATGGAGTTTGCACCACTGCACTCCAGCCTGGGTGAGCGAGACTCTGTGTCAAAAAAACAAAACAAAAAACCCAAAACAAAGTTCCTAAATTAACACTTTGTACCTACTTACCCTACTTACATTCTACTATTTTTCGCAAATGTGGTAATAATTGCCTTTGACCTCTCCTTCCACTCATTGGGCAAATGATTTATAATCTATATAAAATGAGAGGTTCTAATAGACCAGTGATTCTCAATGCTTGTTACACAATAGGATCACTCTGTCCCAGACCAATTGTGATACAATCTCTGGAGATTCCTTCCCCAAAAATCCCTACCTAGCAGGGATTTTTTTAAAACCTCCCCAAATTATTATCACATTATGAGGAGAGTTCAGAAGCACTTGTATCCTCAGTTCAAAACACATACTAGAACTGATTTGGGGACTGCCTTAGTCCAATAGCCCAGTATATTTTAAAATGTAATGTCATATTATTGGTGTTATCTTGACTCCATCCAAAAAAATTAGTGAATGAATAAATGAAAACTGAAAATGTAATACCTCTTGGGGTTTTTTTTTTCCCCTGTATTTTTTTTTCACTACCTCTGGCATAATATCTCAATGAACTGGTTTGTTTTTTGAGAGAAGTTGTATCCCAGGTTGATTTTACAGTATTATGCTGTACTTAATGCTGGATCAATATTGGCTTTGTTTCATTTTGGACTGCGGTTATGTTACTGGAATTTGTAAGATTGTAACTTTCTCATTCATGCTGTCAGTTCTAGACAAATTAATATTTTATCATAATTTGTCCAGTGAAAGCTAAATATTGTTTTACTTTCATAATTAAATTATAGTCCAATGAAATAATCTGTTTTAATGCCATTTCTTTAACATTTTAATTATTGACTACTGGACAGAGAGTAGTCCATTTTATGTTTGATGTTGGATCTTATTTTCAAAAGAAAATCAGCAAGTAGTTAAGTAGACCTCAAGGTGACAGCTTGCAAAATTTCAGAGTAGATTTAGTCTGTACTCTCAAAAATGTTCATGAATATTAAGTTAAAAATTTTTTGGAAACTTAATCTTTGCCTTTCCTACATTTTATAAAGATTTCCTTAGCTTATAATTTTCATAATTGGGAAGGATGTGTGGGAGTTTAAGGTGAGCATAAAGTCAAGCCATAATAGGTTGAAAAAATTCTTCAGTATGAAGAACAGATAATACTGCATGAAAATATTTTTTAAAATCTATGCCTAAAGGATCTTCCAAATCATTAGCACTGATGTTTAGAGCTTGTACATCTTTCCATTATAAGGGCATTGTGGTACTTGTATCTTAGAATTAATTTGATATGAACAGATTTTATTTTGTATGAATAAATAATTTGAAATGAAAATTCATAGTTTTGAAAAAGTCTACGAGTTGTATTTTAATATTCCTTAGTGAAATAAGTAATTTGACATGCAAATTCACCTAACACATCTTTTTCAAAGTCTACTTTATTTGATAATAATATAGTCATCACAAACTTCTCGGAATTCTTGTTTGCATGACCTGTCTTTTTCTATTCATTTTCTACCCTATTGTGTCTTCATATTTAAAGTATGTCACTTATATGCATACATTTATAGGCTTTAAAAAATTCATCCTATCACTTCTAATTGGAGTGTTGAGACCATCTACATTTAATGTAATTATTGATAAGGTTGGATTTAGGTCTGTTTTGCTATTTGTTTCTGCTAGTCCTATCTGTTTTTAGTTATGCATCTTTGCCTTCTTTGGGGTTAATTGGGTATTTTTAAGAATGCTATTTTAATATTCCTGTGATGTTTTAGCTAAAACTATGTTTTTTTTTGTTTGTTTTTTTTGTTTTTTGAGACAGGTTTCGCTCTTGTTACCCAGGCTGGAGTGCAATGGCACGATATCGGCTCACCACAACCTCCGCCTCCTGGGTTCAAGCAATTCTCCTGCCTCAGCCTCCTGAGTAGCTGGGATTACAGGCATGTGCCACCATGCCCATTTTTTGTATTTTTGGTAGAGATGGGGTTTCACCATGTTGACCAGGATGATCTCGATCTCTCGACCTTGTCATCCACCCACCTCGGCCTCTCAAAGTGCTCGAATTACAGGCATGAGCCACCGCGCCCGGCCTGTATTTGTTAAATAGTTGTTTTAAGTAGTTGTATACAATCGTCTGAGTCTACTTGAAGTTAAAATTACACTTTTTAAATGATGTATGGAAATGTAAAAACACTGAACATATCTACCTCTCTTTCATCTTCTATGTCATATGTATTACATCTACATATAGTTGTAAATCTCACAACAGGGTGTTATAATTTTTGCTTTGAATGATAATAATGAAGTTTAGAAGAAAAGCTAATCTTTAGTTTTTTTATCTACACATTTACTATTTCTGATACTTTTCATTTCTGAATCTGAGTTTTTATTTGGTATCACTTCTCTTCAGTCTAAGTAAGTTTTTAAAGAATTTCTTATAATTTGGATTTTCTGGTGACAGTTTTGCCTTCTTTATTAAAGGATATTTTCATTGGATATATAATTCAGGTTGACAGTTGTAGAGACTCTAGATTTTGTTGGGTTTCTTCTTAAGAGTGGTGTTCTGTTTCAGCAGGCTGAACTCTTATAAGTTGTCTTTTCTTTGGTGGGCACCTCCAGAGATCTCACTTCAGCTCTTTTTGCCTTAGCTGGGTTGCATGGAGTCTGCCCTGCATATATATAGTTTAGGGATCAGCCAGAGACTTGGAGCACAGTGCATACACCTGTCCCCCACCCCACTTTGTGGCTTACTTCTTTTTGAGAACTAAATAGAAAGTCAAGAAATAGATCTACTTATGCATAGTCAGTTGAATTTCAACAAAAATGCAAAGGCAATTTAATAAAGACAATCTTGTCAACAAATGATGATGGAACAATTATACATATGCCAAAAAAACCCTGAAAGATTTGATTCATATTCCACTGCATAAATAAAAATTAACTTAAAATGGATCAAAAACTTAAATGTAAAACATAAAACTATATCTAGAAGAAAACAGGAAGTAATCTTTATTACCTTGATTTAATCAAAGATTTTTTAGCTACAGCAACAGAAACATGATTCATAAAAAAAAATTGATCAATAGTGGATTTCATCAAGTTAAAATTATCTGTTCTTCAAAAAGCACTATCAAGAGCTTAAAAAAGCCATATCATGAGATAAAATATTTGTAAATCATATATCTGATAAAACACTTGTGTTCAAAATATATTTTTAAAACTCTGAAAACTCAAGAAAATAAACCACCTAATCTAAAAAAAATAAACAAAATATTTGATCAGATACTTAGCCAAAGAAGATATAGGGATGGCAAATTAAAAGATGCTCAACATCATATCATTAGTCACTCAGGAAATGCAAATTAAAACCACAGTAAGATACTACTTGACCATTAAAGTGACTGAAATGAAAAAGACTGACCATATGAAGTACTTAGGATGTGGAACAATTGGATTTCTCATACCCTGCTGATAAGAATGTAAAATGGTACAGCCACTTTGGAACACAGTTTGTCAGTTTCTTAAAAATTTAAACATAGAACTGTCATGTTATCCAGCCATTTCACTCCTGTAGAAGTATCTATATGGATACATACTTTCACGTATTTTGGGTAAATACCAAGATGGTATTTACCCAAGAGAAGTGGTAAATACCAAGATGGTAAATGCCATCAACAGTAAATACCATCTTGGTATTTACCATTTGGATATTTGGTGTTTACCCAAGAGAAGTGAAAGCTCATGTTCATATAGATACCTGTACAGGAACATTTGTAACATCCCTATTTGTAGTAGTCGAAAACTGGAAACAACCCAAATGATGTCCATCAGTAGGTGAGAGGATCAACACACTGGGCTATGAAATGCTACTAGAAAAGCATATAGCAAACAATGTTACCGAATGTTTTGCCACTGCCATAACATGGACTGACCTAGCCTCCAATAACAGTTTTCTGCTGCCCACTTTTTAGCCTTTAAGCCAGTGTCACGTGTTTAGAATTTTTATTGTATCTTTGGTACTTCTGTTGCTGATTTCCCTGTCAGTCAGAATGAGCCAGGTTATACTGTGATAAGAACCCCAAATTTCAGTGACTTAAAATAAAAGTTTGTTTCTTTGTCATGAAGTGTGTATCCACTGTGGGTTAGCTGAAAGTTCTGTTTTCTGTTGTTCTCACTCTTGAGACTCAGGCTGATCGAAGAGTCATTATGTGAAACCTTACTGGTTGCTGTGAATGTTGACTAATTTAAACTTGTTTGATGCATAGGAGGTAACATGAATTTTCAACCCAGACTACTTCCTTGTTTTCATCAGCATTTGTTGACTGTCTTTTCATTTTACCATGCATTAAATCTTCAGTGCCACCAATGGCTATGACTTTCTTTAATCTATGGTATTAAAAAATATACAAAATATATTTCAACTTTATTTACCTTATAATTGCTTGTTTTTAGGTGGGAAGTGTGTTATTCTTGTGTGTTAGATAAGGAATCTGAGGTCCAGAGAGAGTAAATGGGATTAGTAGGACCATACAGCAGTAAAACTGGACTAGAACCCATGATTCTTGTTTTAATACTTTTGTGCAAATTGGAGAAAAATAACTGCACCATCTCTTTACACATTCTTTATTTTGGCAGTGTCTTCAACAGGTCACATTTAAGAGGTGTCTGGTACTCCCTGCTGGCAGTGGCTGGAACACAATGGATCACACAGTGGCGATAGACACCGAGGATGAAGTGGGACCTTTAGCCCATCTTGCTCCAAGTCCTCAAAGTGAAGCTGTGGCTCACGAATTCCAGGAACTCTCCTTGCAGTCCAGTCAAAACTTACCTCCTCTGAACGAAAGGAAAAATGGTGAGTTCTTCAGCATGTGCAATGGGATGTTTGATTTAAAGATTTCTTCTCTTTGGGAGGCCAGTTTATTCCTCTTGGGCAGTAGTATTTTGGTCCGTTTGGCAGTCTGTCATGGAGGAGAACCCCACAGAGATATTGGATGGTTTTTAGTAACAGGCAAATTTTCACTTTCCATCCAGTTCTTTCATTATTTTCCCAGTAAATATCTTTGGTAGTGATGTTACCTTTGGAAATAAACTTTAGATTCAGCCATTTTAGCACAAGCAGATGATTTCATGCTAGAATGGCATTGGAAAGTAGGTTCTTGTGCTGTGCCGGGGAAATCGATTGTGGATATGACTACATTCTCCCACTTTCTCCATCTCTGGTGTGTTGCACCTTAATTTCAGAAGTGGGAAAGCTGTCTCAGTGATGATTAAGAAGTCAGGAACTTCTTCTTTGATTATTTATTATATTAATGGATATTGGATATAGCCATATTCTCAGTCTTTGGCTGCCTCATCATTGTCTACAAAATGAGTATTTTCTGTTTATTCATTATCTGTTCAGGAAATTTTCATTGCCCACAGAGGTATTTCAGAGTCTCCAGAAAACACAATACTGTCAATTTTTAACATAAATGAATAGAGATAGATGACATATACCTTTAATACTTAAGATATAAAATCTAACAAATACAAAGTAATGTTAAAATTTGCAAACACTACAAGCATACACATTAAAAAACAATTAAGGATTTTATCTGGAATTACTATACCTTCCACAGTTCTGATGAGTCTTACAAGTATATTTGTAAATTTCAGTTAAAAAAAAAAAAAAGAAATAAAATTGCTTTCTCTACAGAATGCCTCCTTAGGTACCTTGTCACTTACTTTCCTGGGTCCGGGGTGTTTTCCAGTCCTCCTAATTATTAGGTTTACCTTATTTAGGAAAATGGATAAAAAACATACATATACCACTCTTCTTAGGCCTTCGGTACATGTCTTTAGTATGTACTTGTTCTCTTTCAAATAAATTGTTTTGCTTTGTATCTGAATCTTGTTGTTAAGCACAACCCTTGACCATTTTGATAGGTTTAAAGCAGCATCTTAGCTTAAGTGCCGTCAAACCTTCAGGAGGCTGTGGTTAACTTGTTGGTGATAACTTTTAAACCTTCCATCTTTTAGGAGCCCATATTTACCTTAGACAGTGGCTGAGAGAATATAGCCCCATTTACTAAAACATGACTAAGTGTGATCAGATTTACACAGTACCCTTGGAGTAGTATAATGTCCAAATTATTTCTGTAAAAGAAAAGAGTTGAACTGTTATAAAATCAGAATATATAGTTGTACACAATAATGGTCTTCTGTAATGGGGAGGAAAGTGTGAGGAGAGTTCATCCTTTATGGTCATTTACAGCAAAAGTTAATATGTATGCCAGATTTTTAGGTGGTAAGCCCAAATACAGAGTAATCTCCCCTTATAAACTTTTAGGGAAGTAGATGAAATGGTAAAAATTTTAATTTGTATGTAGTTATATTTTATGAAGCATTGCAATAATGTGGGATTGTTTTAACCACTCTCATTGTTCATAAAACCATCCTACTCAAAGTCTATACGTGACTCTTTGTGGTCAGTGTTTTTATCAGCAGTAGAACCACAGTGCATCATCCCTCCAGCACTAATTTCCGGGATACATCTTCATTTCTGTCTCTTTTGTTGGAGCTACAGCAGTTTTTTAACATGTGCATGATTTGGTACTGAAAAATTTCATGTCTAAATCACAGTTACCATTCACAAAACGGTTTTTTAAAATTATCTTATGTGCTCATAATCTCTATAACATCACTTGTTTGATTTGTCATTGGTTGTTACATTTTATGGGGCTCTAATTTTTGTTTCAGAATTTTGCCTTTTTTTAAGCAGATAATATAGTCATATGATTTAAAATGTTATGATTACCTAGTGAAAAGTAGGTTTTCCTCCCAATCTTGTCCCTTACCTGCACAGTTACTTTCGTAGAATTAACTGTTCCTAGTGTTGTTTCTAAGAGAATAATATTTGACTACTTTTTTCAAAGCAGTTTTTAAAAGGCTGCTTTATTACAACACGTGACACTTTGAATTTTAAGGTTCTAACTGGGAATAATGTCTTGATTTTTTTTTTCCTCTCTTCCTTTTTGTTTTTCTAATTCTGATGAAAATATTTCTGTAAACCTGAAAACAGCTTCAAATGAAGTTGGGTTTTTTTTTTTCTATTTTTAATTTTATTAAGGAAAATTTCTCAAATGTATAGAAAAGAGTATGTAACAATGAAACCCCATGTACCCATCACCCATGTTCATCAAATATTGATTCTTGGTCAATCTTATTTGTGCCCTAGCTACATTTATCCATTCATATATATATTTAAGCCCATTCTCACATATTTTGTAAATATATTATTTTGCTTTTGGTTATTTTATTGCATATCACTAAATTTTGACTTTAAAAAATTTATTTATTTATTTTACTTTAGATGCATACTATATCTGGCATTTCCCCCCATGTTACCCTCCCCGCCCCTCACTGTCTCTCCCCTACCCACCCCAGCTGTTCCCAATGCGTGATGCTCCTCTCCCTAAGTCCACATGTTCTCATTGTTCAACACCCACCTATGAGTGAGAACAATGCCGTGTTTCACTTTCTGTTCTTGTGTCAGTTTGCTGAGAATGATAGTTTCCAGATTCGTCCACGTCCCTACAAAGGACACAAACTCATCGTTTTTTATGGCTGTGTAGTATTCCATGGTGTATATGTACCACAGTTTCTTTGTCCAGTCTATCATTGGTGGGCATTTGGGTTGGTTCCAGGTCTTTGCTATTGTACACAGGGCTGCAATGAACGTACATGTGCATGTGTGTTTATAGTAGAACGATTATAGTTCTTTGGATATATACCCAGTAATGGGATTGCTGGGTCAAATGGGATTTCTATTTTTAGGTCCTTGAGAAATCACTGCACTGTCTCAAATGAAGTTGGTTTTTAAACCAGTGTGTTTTCTCCAAGAGTACTTTTTTGTTCAATATGGAGTAAATGAAAGAATATCTCATATTTTGAGATACATGCAGGGACTCCACTATGAGACAGTTTCCTCTTTTCTGATAAATGACTTCAGGAAGTTATTATAGAAGCCTTATTTTATATTCACACATACAATTTGACGCTTATGATATATTAACCTAATTTGCCATGTATATTCCAAGGCATAAAAGGCATTCTTATTTGGCTACTAGAAATCTGGGCTTTTGGGGAAATGCTGATCAAATGATAAAAAATTTCAGTTAGGTAGGAGGAATAAGTTCAAGAGATCTATTGTACAACATAGTAACCAAGGTTAATAACAATGTATTGTATTGAAAATTGCTGAGAGAGTAGATTTTAAATGTTGTCACCACAAAAAAAAGGAAATATTTGAAGTAATGATATGTTAGTTCAGTTTAGCCATTCCACAGTGTACACATATGTCAGAAGTACATGATAAATACATACAATTTTTGTCACTGTCAAAATAAAAGTAAAAATATTAAATTTTATAACATCTAGGTTTTTTACAGTTATGTGAGCAGAGTATATTCACATCAAGTAATATATAAATGAAAGGACCATAACATTCTTTCTTTAATGATTTTTTTTCAGGTACATTACTCATTTTTTAGGTCTTCTTAATGCAATATTTAAGTCATATTATATACAAAATGCAGGTATTGGCCTCAAGATGAATCAGTACAAAGTACTCTTTAGATACGAAATAATTGAATTCAGATTTTTTTGGTGATTGTGTTTTATTGTTAATCCTAAACATTTGAGTTTCACTTTTTAGAATTATTTTCTGTTGTAGGGAAAAATAGAGCTATTTCAGTTTGGGGTTAGTGTCTAAAAGGGTAATATATAATAGTTTATAAATAAACTTTACAAGGAAAATGAAGTTGATGTTTAAGTAATGATTCCTGGATCTTCCCTTGTTTTACGTTCATATTTATGTTGCTGATGATAGTGGAGCGACAGGATATTCCCACTACTGGAGCATGTAGGGGAGATATTTAGTAAAGAGAAGCTGGGATTTTCCTTTACCCTTGAATGTGACCAAAATAGTACCTCAGAAGTAAGGCAGCCATTTAGGCAATTAACTTTTCCTCACAAGTGAGGCCTTAGTGAAGGAAAGTGGATATATAGAAACATATGCAGAACCTACCTTTCCTAAAATAATGCATATACAGGGCATTGAGCTTCAGTTTGACATTTTAAATACACATTAGATCCATCTTTTTCACTATTTACATTCCTTCACCTGAGCAGACTGGGAATAAAAAGGAAACCAGTCAAAGGAATCGGACTTCATTGTTTAAGTTGGAAAAGCTCACCAAGGAAAGAAAAAGTGAGTTGAAACATCACTGAAGGAGCTGCAGCCCTTTGCCTTTGCCCACACTTTGAAGGACCCTGCGTGAGGTGCTGTTCCTTCTTAGGTCATGTGCAAGACCGGTAAGCTGTCAGGCAGAGCAACTCTCGGGGATACTGGCTGATGAATTTAAGCTTTAAGTCATTGCCAGTATTATTATAGGAGTGAGTAGAGAAGTTAATACAGATTTTCGTTTTTTAAAACTGTTTGGTATTTTAATACTGTTTGGTATGTCTTGAGTCCAGGTACTTTCAAGGTGAGGAGCAGTCATGTTGACACAGTCACAAATTCAGCACAGGCCAGCTGATTTAGACTTTTGTAAAAATCAGTATTGTCTACCTCCGTTTTCCTGAATTAAAAGGCGTTTTTAAACTCAACTTACTGTGAAGTAGTCAGTGTGTTTTAGGCCTCAATAAAGAAGAATGATATTTACTATTCTTATTTTAAACTTTGGTATTACTAGTTACTGCAGTTGTTAGGGTTTTGAGCTCATAGTCCCATTTTGAACTTTTCTTCTAAGATTTTCCATTCATTAAATGTGTAATACTGAGCAAATTTAGGTAAGCTCTTTTTCAGTTCTT